TCTCTGCAACTTAGCTTCAGCATCATCATCAGCGCCGCTCCCCATCCACGGCCGCTTCACACCGCGTTGCGCACCAGCGCCACCCATCGCCGCAGCCCCCGCGCGCTCCCTAGCCTCCAAGTCCTCCCTCATCTTCCTCTTCGCGGCATCCATCATATCCCGCTCGCGCTGCTTGCGCTGGCGCGCTTCACGCGCATTATCGTAGAGCTGCCGCACCGACGGATCGGAGAGAACATCGTAGGCGATCTGGAGCAGATGGAACTTGTCGATGTCTGCAGGTGTGGGGTTCGCGATTTTGTCGGGGTGATATTTCAGTGCAGTTCGGCGGTAGGCGCGACGGATTTCTGATTCTGCCGCTGCGGGGGAAATGTCGAGGAGGGCGTAGAAGTCTTCGTTGGAGGCCGCGTGGGCCTTGAGGTCGTCTTTTGAGGCCATGGTGCTGCGCGTTTGGCCGCCGCGTTGTTGTGTCTAAGTTCAAGCGTAGATTTTCGCTTCGTTATTTGTAAAACTGAGTTAAGGTGGTGTTTTCACCGGCGATGCACGCCACTCGAAGGTCTTGTGTTGGAGAGACGAAAGAGGAGAGAAGGTGGTAGCAGAAACAGATGAAGCTTCATGTCGGGCTTGGCGGAGGGCCTGGCTGGCGGTGGCGGGACTGGCTCGGCTTCATTTTATCCACCCGATCAGGTCCAAGTACTTGGTAGTAGTCAGGAAAAGCTCCATTCTGCCGGGAACAGGACATTTTCTTGTTTGGATATAGTGAGTCTTCACGGCATCTTTTGGTTTGTGACAATATTGAGTTCATTATTACTAGTAACCAGTGCTTTGCTCATCGTACATCATATTGATTGTAGAATCATTAAGATATATACTCCGCAGCAGCAGGAATCTGGAGGCTACTGGACGATGATGCTTCATTGAATGATATCCCATCACCCGAGAAATTTAGATTAGCACCAGCACTTTCGAACTTTTCATCAAATCATTATTCCTAATGTATTTAAAATTTTACTATGTAAAAGACCCAAATGTTTCGCTTGGTTTTGATACCGCGCACGTGCTTCCCACATGGGGAAAGAAAGCAATGAACTCGACTCAACAATTTGATGCATCATGACACCGCCTCGTCTCTTATCGTTTGTCGAACTTCTGGGAAACTAAGGATGGATGGAACTTCAATGCCTTCCCCAGCTCAGATAGCACTTGCAATGGCTATCGTCAAGCTTAAGCCAGTGGATGTGGATCTCAAAGGCAATAATCCTGTCTGCTTTCCATGACAGACATGCAGATTAATTGAAAGTCTAGAGCATTTATTGCAGATTCGTCATCACATCAGAAGCACCCACTCAAGTGACAGGTCCTACACGCATGACAAATTCTTCGACAGCGTCTCATTCTGGCAACAAGCGTACGAGCGGTCCGAAGCAGAACAAAGCAAATTGCTGGATCGAATATACGAGTTAGAGCAACGCAATGAGTCTCTTCATGCACGGCTTCAGGGTGGAGATATGGCTGTTGCAGAAAACGATCAAGGGACATTGAAACGCAAGGCTACTGCGAAGGCTGCTGCTTCCGGCAGTGGTGCCACAACAAGGAAGAGAGCGAAGACCCAGATATTCTCTCGAACGGATGCCTCGGTGCTTAACAATAGTCATTCTGCAGGACTTGGTGGCGGTGTGGCCGATCCACCAGGCCTTTCTGAGCAATGTCTGTTCGCCGGCCACTTCAGTGAAGGAGACTATACTGACCTATTTCCCGTTCTAGTCACTGCACCTTTCATGAGGCAACTCTTTGCATTACAGAAAGTTCTGCAGAAGCGACCCAATAGTTCAAGCATTGCTAGTGCCGCAGTGGAGCTTTGCGCTACTGCAACCAAGAATGTTCTTGATGCTATTGAACAGCCAGCTGTATCCCGGTCTACGAAGAAAACAATACCACAGCCCAAGAGGCCGGATATACTAGCTGTTTTGAACAGCACTGAGAGCGCCTTTCGAATCCTAATCCAGACTTTTAAGAAACTTTCTGCATCTGGCCAGCAGATGCGAGATGCTGGACAAGTTACGTACCATATAGTTCGCTTATATGAGGTTATCATTGAAGCTTTGGGCCGGCATTGCAGGATCAAACCCGAAAAACAACTTCGCAAGTCTCAAATAAGCATAAAACCTTCTCGGCAAAGACAAAAGGCAGAAGCCAAGTGGCCCAAAACCGGTCACGCTGACAATGCTCAGAGTTACGGAGGTGAAAGAGATGAGATAGCCACTCAAATGAGCCTGTTGCTGGGTAGAATGGCGCTCTCGCTCGACATCGACTGTGTAGCTAAACAGAATGTTCTTGAAGGGTTTCTATTTGTACTTCTTAGTCGTGTGGGGAAACTAGTCTCCTTGTTTGTCTTCCACGATTTGCGTTCGCAACCTGATCTACAGATGGATGACGCCAAGTTCCCTTTGCCAGGGGGACTTGATGGAATTGGCATGGATGAAAGCACATTGCCCGCAGCGGCCATGGAGGCTAGGAGCCTGATATGGCCATTAGAGAGGATTTTACTCCTACTCGAAGATGCGCCATCTATGTCTTCAGAACCCAGTCACGCGTGTACAAACAAACAGTTGGCTGCAAAGCTCAAGCAAAAACTACAGACTACCCTGCTTCACTCAGTCTTTGGCGCCGACTCGCTTTGGCAAGATACTTTACAAAACCCCGTCCAACCAGATGGACGGGACCTTGAACGACTTCAGACTTATTCACAGGTCCCCGAGCAATCCGTACCCGACTGGTTTGTACAAGAGGTTTGGAGGCTCATAGGCTGGAAGATGCTAGCTGCGAGCAATAGCCCGAGAGCGTAGACGTGGATGTTCTGGCCACAGTCCGGCCTTGGCCAATTTGGAGGTACGAGGTCGGGATGTTTTCCATATGACATGTATGACTTACTGATCTCGACGGAAACACTTGCATCCTGCATACGCCACGGATGTGCAGTATCACTAACACGTTCCACTGCAAGCACAAAGCAGATGGAGTCATGCCATGAGGCATTGCTATTATTATTTGAATCATGTCTAATTCAAATTTAGTATGCGAGCCGCGTTGCCACCCAAGACCCCTGCAGCAGTATCTCCTTCTGTATCAAATGCTTTATGGATCGCTTTGTAATTGGTCGTCACACTAGGCCATTCTTCGTCATCCTTGCCCAAAGGAGGGAAGAACGGATGATCGGTTCCTACACTAATGTCAATAATGTTGTAGCAGAGAAGCATCCCGGGACAAACGTACCAAAGAGGAGGCGATCACTTCCTCCTGCAGCAGTCACAGCTGCTTTCAACCCAGCAGTGCCGTACACCACGGCGTCCAGATAAATATTGGTGCTCAGAACATCCCACACACTCCGCTGCGGACCAGGTACATCACCTCCGTTGGCGATGAATTTGCGTTCATGAAGGATACAGCTCTCAATCCGACCAGCAAGGAAGGGAAGCGTGCCTCCGGAATGAGCCAGGAGGATCTTCAACCGCGGGAAGCGATCAAAGACACCCGCCAAAAGCATCCTCGTTACCGCAATGGTTGTTTCAAGGGGAAAACCTAGAGCTAGGGGAAGAACATGGCCATAGCGGTTCGTTGCTTCGGGTCCACCAAAGGCTTCATCCGGTAGCCCATAGTGCGGGTGTAGGAACAGCATGGACTCCGTATCTTGTAATGCCTCCCAGACAGGATCCAGCCTACTATCGTCTAACCCCTTGCCTAGACCTGTTGTTCCCATGATTACCCCCCGTAGATGGGGCAATGTCTTGAGCCTTCTGATCTCATTCACAACGATATCGGGGCTCGGGGCGCTGAGCGGAAGTGCCCCGAAAGCAAACAGCGTTTCCTTCTCATGGAGTGCCTTTATTTTGTCCGGGTCTGCATCGTTATTCACCCGCGCACAAGTTGCCTCGAGGTCATCGTTGATGCGCTCAGCCCATGTCTGGGCTTCGTCCGGCTCGAGGAAATCCAGCCAAGGATTGGCCAGCGAGATAACGCTGCAGTTGATTCCGTGGCGGCGCATGAACGCCAGCTTCACGTTAATGTCTGAATAGGACGAATCCACGGGGCGACCACGCTGATCGACGGGAATTGACGGGTCATCGTCGGATGAAAGGATGATGAGGCGAGGGGTTGCATTGTTGGCTGGGTCATGGACATAGGGGACTGTCTTGCGCGCGCGAAGCATATGCATATAAGAAGGAGGGTAGACATGAGTGTGGATGTCGACGATTAGAGGGGGCATCTTTACGTTGATACTATGACTGAAGATGATAATGAAGAAAAGAAGGGGGGAGGAGGAAGAATGGTTGTTGTTGTTTGTGTTGGTGTTCAACAACTACTTACCTATGTAACTAATGAGAGGGTGCAGCAAATGAGGGGTAAATACCACCATGTGAGATGCATGAAGATGACTGATCAACTGCAGTCAATCAGTAACTACCCCTTGGTTTCTCGCCTCTTGATTCTTCAGCAGTGATAAACTTGTTGATCTGTTATCTCCAAGATCAGACCCTGATCTTGATGAAGATTGCAGTTTTTATCTGACTGATAATCGCTGCGCTTGACCGGGTGAATATCCCCAAGCTGACCCGATAAGCAATCCAGCTGTGCATCCCCCCATATCTCCATATCTCCAACCACACTATCGCCCATCTTTCCCTATCATACTGCCATGGTTATTGTCCGTGCCTGCCCCGCGATTTGATTGCCCGACCTTATCATACTACAGTTGGGGAGTTTTAACCGCCGATTGCTTCTCTGTTATTGCCCAATCACTCGGCCTTGCCCCAGCGTCATCCTTGGTTCATCACAGATAAGTGATCTCACGGTCTTCTGCACGAGCCTCCCCTTGCGCCATTTCGTTTCCTTGTCTGCCATCTCAAATTCCCCAGATATTAAATCATTACATCCATCTCGTTACTCCGATCGTTTGTGTTGTGGCTTCCATCTTCCTTATCCTGGAGTTATCGTGCATCTCCGCAATGGAAGGTAATCTCCCCCAGCAACAGTGTCACCCAGCTTCCACAGCTGTGGAAAAGGATGACCTGATTATCCCAGTAAGTATTTCCGTCGACAGCCTTTCCACTGGTCTTTCCACTCCACGTGCTTGTGTCTTCTTGCCTTGTCTTGTCTCACCTGGTTTTTCCGTAGATCATCGACTTCGGGCCCTTTCTTAACGGCACCCCCGCCGATAAGCATGAGGTCGCCATGTCCATCGTAGACGCTTTCAAATCATCTGGTTTCCTATACCTCAAAGACCACGGCATCCCACCGTCCGTTGTCTCCCGCGTATTCGGCTCCTCTGGTCGCTTCTTCGGTCGATCGCAGGATCAAAAAGATAGTCTGTGCTGGACTACCCCACAATCGAACCGTGGATACGTCAAGACTGGGCAAGAGAAGCTAAGCACGGTCGATGACGTAGCGGGGACTTCTCAAACCACGTCCGACCTGAAAGAGACAATGGAGATAGGCCGGGAAGGTGTGGATGGCTTTCCGAATCGGTGGCCCGACCACATTGATGATGAAGGGAAGGACTTCAAGGAGGTGATGCTGTCATTTTTCAACATGTGCAAGTCTCTCCACACGGAGGTCATGCGGGCTATTGCACTGGGCATGAACTTGCCAGAGCACTTCTTCGATGCCTATGTGGATGCGGGCGACAATAACCTTCGCCTGCTGCATTATCCTTCAGTGCCTAAGGAGGTCTTCAAACAAAATCCGGGACAGGTTCGAGCTGGTGAACATAGCGATTATGGCTCCATCACCCTTCTCTTTCAAGATAGCCGCGGGGGACTGCAGGTTCGTAGTCCCAAGGGCACTTTTGTGGATGTAACACCCATCGCAGACACCGTGGTTATTAATGCTGGCGATTTGCTGGCCCGGTGGTCCAACGACATCATCAAAAGTACCCGACACCGAGTTGTCGAGCCGCCGACAGCAGTCGGGGAGGAAGAGAACGATTCTGTTAGCTACCCTGATCGCTACAGTATCGCATATTTCTGCAATCCCAACATGAACCAGTTCATTGAAGCCATTCCTGGGACCTTCGAAGAGGAGACCCGCCCTGCAAAGTACCCTGGGATTACTACGGGCGATTATCTGGTGCAACGACTGACAGCGACCATAAAGATGCTCCAGGGTTGAGGATTGCACGGCAGACTCGAGTGTGTCATACTGTCGTGGCTGCAGGTCGCATTTGAGAACTAATATCTTGCTCAGCGGGTCTAGGCATCGTATTTCACCATATTCTCTGAAAGCATATAGCATCTTGTATTGTGTCTTTCGCAAACACCCCTTTCTAGCTCAATGCGAATATACTGTGTGTTCTGTTTCCAGTGCCATTCTTCGTTGTCGAGTAACTAACAACTTGACGACGTGCTCAGCCAACCTCCATCGATGATTGTGATATTGCCATTGGCATATGCCCCAGAGGGACTAGCCATCCAAAGAACCAAGCCTGCGAACTCTTCATGGCGACCGGCTCGGCCGGGGGGGAATACACTCTTGGGTAAGGCACCATCCGAGGCTGATGACTCGGTGATCCCAAACGCTATCGTCGTCATCTCCGAAGGGAACAGCCCCGGTGCTGTACCATTCACACGGATTTTGTACGGTGTGAAAATGTTGGACAGCGTCTTGATCAGATGATGCACCGCCCCCTTGGATATATTATATGCGATGCTATAAGGCACATTTCGAAAATGAGCGGCTACTGAACCAACTATGATGACCTGTGCCGTGGGTGCGGCGGGCCGGTCTTTCACGGGGGCCGGCCTTCTCTCATTTGCTGCGTTGAGCAGAGGCAAGAATGCAACAACGGTGAAAAAAGTCCCTTTCACGTTGATTTCCGTAAGCTTTCCGAAATCATCTTCGGGAGAGGACCACAGATGATCGCGGAATTCAAGAAGACTGGGGATTGACCCGTCCGGCTTTGGCCCTAACGGTGACATTGGCAACCCCCCATAGCCGCTATTGGCTATAAGTAGATCGACATGTTCTGCCTGTGCTGCGACAGTTTCATAGGCTGCTTGCAAAGAATCTTTCGACGTGATATCCGCCTGAACTGGAATGATTGTGTCTTTCTTGCTTAAAGACACGGTCTCTTGCAAAACCTCTACTCGACGGCCAAGGATGAAGACTTTGGCAGCACCGTTTTCGGCTAGGGCAAGGGCTGCTGAGCGACCTAATCCTGGGAGGTGAAAATAGTCAGTTACATGAACGTTGTGGCAGTAAGGGGCTCGGCTTAACATACCTGTTCCTCCGCCGGTTAAGACGACAACCAGTCCTTCGACCGACAACAACTGTGCAGCGTTAAATTGCGACATGATCTAGTACTTTCAGACTTATCTATCGCTTTATTACAAATGCGAACGTGGTGAAGAAATGTATGAGGAGGACAAAGGTTCACCGCCAGAATGGCAGGTTTTGTAGAGGGCGATGCAACCGGCTCAATCAGGCATATCATCCAGAGGGGACCGCGTCAAATGACGCTGAGTGAATTCTGTGAAACCTGTTTCTACTGTTCTTTCTACAGTAGCTATCCTGCATGCCTCATCTTTGAGCGGCCCAGATAAGTGGTTGGCACAGTAAGTGAGCATCCCCGCGAGCAGCATACTCTCGGCGCGAGCTCACGACTGGAGCTGGTTATATTCGTGACACCAACCATCACAAGAGCAACGATGGCGACATACGACCTGCCATAGTAACCAGGAGATATTATCGGGCACGGCCGGAAACAGCTGAGCTCTAGCATATCCACGCTTCGTGCGGTAACTGCTACCTTGCCGGGCTGTCATTCCGTTGGATATCATTTCCGTCCAACCATATAGCGAATCAATGAACAAGCTAACCATCGGATGCCCAGCCATATTGTCAGTAAGTTGATGGGGTCTATAACTGGATTCCTTTGTTGTGAAGTAAAGTGATTGTTTGACCGAAAGAATGCTGGTTTCAGACTGACACAACTGTAGACAATCCGCAGGCACTACAACGAGACCTGAATCCGGCGTCTGCGATGATAGGCTACAAACATCTCTTACGTGATACAACATACTTTTTCCCCTGAGTATTGCTATGGCGCATATCCGCCCGTTCCTTAAGGGGTCGTTCTAATCAGTCTGTCCAACCCGTACTCATTCTTAAAAGCCACGCGGCGTGGCTTGAGTGTAATGGCCACCGTACCGACTCTTCCCCAAGTCGTTCAGTTGTCCCCTTTCAAGTTTTAGGGCTTGACAAGACATACCTCGATTTTGTCTTTGCTCCGAAGAGTCAGTCATGGTGGGGCCGTAGTGTGAGCTTCATTGTGTTCCATATTTCCGTCGCCTTCCGTGAGGGTCATGGATGATGAGAAGGTTACATCCACGCGCATCCGAACTCCAACAGAGAATTCCTGTTTCGACAGCTCGAGTGGATGAAATCTCCGTTACACACAGTCGTAAAAACTATGATTGCCCGATTGCGTCACAAATGGGGGGTGACATGACGAGCACGATGTGCTGGCTATCAGTGTATTTATGTACCTGCTGGGTGCCTGTCGAGCCTCCGGATTTCAGCAAGTTGCGGATGTTTAACTTTCTGGAATACAACCGCTGATCAGCATGACTTTAAACCGTTTGATCTTGCTTGGCTCAATGGGCTCATTGCCCTTGACTCTGGCATATCCCCGCCTCAACATTCCTCGGCAAGTCGGGAATGCGACGGGCGTTGCGCCTGGCATCGTACCTGGTAATGCGACTAGCAATGCGCCCGGAGTCGTACCTGGTGCGACTGGCCCTGCTACCGCTCCTGCTACTGCCCCTGCTACTGCCCCTGCGACTGTGGCTCCTCCGCCTGTCGTGACCTATTCCACAACCCAGGCCCACACTCCGTACACTGGGGTACCGACAACGACTGGGGCACTCACTGCTGGCCCTATCGGTCCTGGCATTTCTCCTTTGGGCATACCCCCAGAGGCTACCACCTACCCTAGTGATGGTCAGCTTCACAGCCCCGAGCCCGGACCTTTTATCCCAGCAGGGGGCGTGGGAACCAATGGGACTACCCCTGTCTATAATGCAAAGAGTGACTTTGACTACGAGTCTCTGGTGAGTTTGCGTTTACCCTTCCCACAGTTTCATGCTCCTGCTAACCCACTACCAGGCCCTTGCGTTGTACCAAGAGTACATCGAGCTCGACCTCTTCCATGATGGACTGGCACGCTTCTCTGTTGACGACTTTACTGCTGCAGGGTTGACAGCAGAGGATCGTTTCTTGATCGAATTCATGGCCGATCAGGAAGTCGGCCATGCGACCATGTTGACCAACATTTTGGGTGCGGAGGCACCCAGACAGTGCAACTACGTATACCCTTATACCACCGTTCACGAGTTCTTGGATTTCTGCCAGAAGCTTACACGCTTTGGCGAGGCGGGTGTGTATGGATTCTTGTCCCATCTGGACTCCCGCGAAGCAGCGACGCTTCTCACTTTGTCCATCACCACGGAGGCTCGCCAGCAAATGATCTTCAGGCAGTTTGAAGGACTCTTCCCCATGCCAGTCTGGTTCGAGGTTGGTGTTCCTCAGTCATGGGCCTGGACTTTGCTTGCTCCCTATATTGCCTCTTGCCCAGAAGGCCAGACGCGCCTGGCCTGGCAAAACTTCCCAGCACTGTCTATCCTGAACCAGCCGAACCCGGTCCGGATTAACGGTGCCGATGCTTGGAAGGAGACTATCTCCAATGGCACAAATGTGTTGAACAGCACGGTGGTCCCCAGCTCGCAAGCTTGCCAGAACAATGATGCCCCGGGTATCAACTGCTCACCTGCAATCACCCACAATCGCACCAACCCTCTGTCTTTCCCCGGCCGGGAAGTTTTCCTGTCCTGGGATGCTCCAGGGCAGCCAGTTGGGCCGAACAATAGCTATGTGACCTCGACGACCGCGGGAGCCCCCAAGTACGTGGCGTGGGTGACGCAGCTGAACGTGACCTACTCTGAGTTGACACTCAACGGCTCGAGATCTGGATCGACGATTCAGCCAAACGTTGAAACCTACGCAGGTGATCCCGCCGTTAATGGCACCATGTTCATTGCCATTACTGATACGAACCTCTTCGTGACCCCGTTCAACATCAGCATGATCAATCCTCATGTGGTCGCTGGACCGGCTCTCTACCAGTCTGGCTAAGCGAGTGCAAGTATTTCCGGAATAGTATACGTTCTCCGGAAAGGCATGCTTTCAACGTGTAATTTCTTGCGAGATGTTTTATTCCGACGATGTAGTGGGATTCTGACTGGAAGAGGACGGGAATTTTTCAGGTCTTAGCCATGCTGCTAAATGTTTGTAATTCTATTAGTTCTTGATCTGGAGTTATAGTTGGCTACTAATGAAAACATGGTTAAAGGCAAGTCTGCACTGTGTTGGATTGTAGGAGAAGAAAATGTAGTCGTCTATTGTATACTGTGTAGATAGACGGGCAGTCAGTCCACCCTGACGGCTAACCCCGCTTAACTCCGGCGGTGATACATCATTTGGAGTTTTGACACCTGAGCTTCACCTGAGACAACCCCCTGCTTCTTCGTCTCGTCGCGCACCATCGCCCCTTTTTCTCGCCAATAAATAGCTACGCACATCTACAGAACTCCGGCACCATGGAAGGTCCCAGGAACCGAAAACAGCGACGAGCAGCAGCGGCAGCAGCGACAACTGTCGACAGCGACACGTTCGACCCCTCCTCAATTCCCCTAGCGCGCCCTGCACCGAATCCCCCGAAGAGCAAGGGGAAGACCTTGATGGAAATTATATCCGAACGACAAAGTGAACTTCTAGGCCAGGCAAACGCTCCGACTGGGGCATCTGACTCGAGTCCCCGATTTGTGACCATCGACCCCACGACTGGTGATATTTCCGGCCTCAATGCGTCGGAACTGGCTGCGGTAAAAAACGGGCAGGATATCAGGAGGGTTGAAGAAGTCACAGACGAAACCGCATCCACTGAGGAGGGGAAAGACGAACCTGAAGAGTCCGAGCATCCCATCCCGCCCGTCATCGACACGCTCCTGCTTTCTGTTCCCCTGACCACCCTCCACCTGACCCTCGCGTACCTCGCAGCCCATCAATATGCCGAGTCTATCGAACTAGACAACCTCATCCGCGAATCAGTCTTCGTGGCCTTTCCGATGTTGACCTTGCTTGTCCACCTCGCTCATGGACACGTCGTCTCCTTCATCGGCAGCACCGGCAGGTCGAAGTCCACTGAGACGGTCTCGCTTCTGCCTTGGGACAGCGAGAAACTGACGTTAGCCTTCTTCCGAAAATTGCTCTTCCCTCCGGCATTACGTACCATGGTCTTCCTGCCGATGGCGGTCGCTCTTGGCTGTAAGCTGATGGTCATAACCAACGACGAACCATACTACGCGGTGATGAGGGGGGCGCCAGCCATCGGGACGATATGGATCTGGAGCATTTTGGAGATACCGTTTGGGGCAGCCGTTATCGGGGCGTTGGGGCCATTAGCATGGGGGGTGTGGTGGAAAGGCTACGGGATACTCTGACAGATGCGGAGCAGAGTCAAACAAAGCTGAGTGAGATTATCGATCAACGCCCGGATCGCGCGATTTGCGCGTCCGTTAGGATGGAAGGAGCTGCATCCTAGTACGACAGACATGCTTTGGTCTGGGACTCGACCTGCGCCGGCGCCTCGGTTATGATGGCTTGATAGTATGCACCAGCGACACCGGTCGGGCGGCGGAGTTGCACAATGCCAGTGGCGGGCTTTAGGATATCCCCTCTCTTGCAGCAGATACTATCACGTCACTGCAGACACATAGTTACAATGTCGNGTTTATTTTTATTTTTTTTTTTTATTTTTTTGTTCCTCTTCCCTGGTTTACCGCCATCTTTACCGCCACTGACTTGACGAAGGCTGGGAGGTCGCAAACTCAATCACATTTGAGGTTGTACAACGTCGGTTGCTTCATCACGCACGTACGGTGCAGAAGTCGGTGACGACAGCTGCTGATGAGCATCTGTTTCTGGGCCATGAATGCTCCGCCGGACTCCCGGTCATGGACGATAGGCTATCCTAGACGGCATTTCTTTACTCGAATCTTGAAATCCCGGTCGCATGTGAATATGGAACATGACTTGATTCGACTGGGTAGAGTTGGAAAAACTTTAGATGGAGAGGGGAATAAAGAAACGACAAAAAAAGAAAATATAAAATCAAAAATTGAGCAATTAACGGTCTTGACATCGGGGACCAGTGAATCCCGAAACCGCGCCAACAACGCTCTTCTTTCTTCACTACGAAGTATACTCGGTTAGATCCTCGACTCGGGGTTTGTTTGAGAGCATGACCACCACCACCACCATTGCGAACATGGATGACAATCATGCTTCTACCCCTCCTGGACCATGTCAGTCGACGTGGCAATGCAGTCGAGTGGGAAGACCGTTGCGACTAGTGCCTACTCCATAATGCAACCCCTTGGGGGCCGCCAGGATCCAGGCAGCAGCTGCCAGGACGACCCATTGAATGCGTGGTGGTCGTTTCCGGAGAGACCGCCACAAGAGTCAGGCTGGGGCGGGCATTGATGAAGCTAGGGAATAACCTGGACCGGGAGAATATTACCGACGGCGACAGGGAAGCAAGAGCTTACGAAAACAGGCGGTGGTCCAGGGAACCCAGACTGGCATGCGATGGCGTCTGTCTAATTCTTCTAGTGGCTGCAGCTAGTTCACTGGCCCTGTCACATGACCTGCACGTTGCGGTCCTCGGCGCAGCCTCTCTCTCTCTCATATGCAGTCTTCTCTGAGAAAACAGTTGAGGGTGAGGGTACAGGCTGCAGAGAGTTTCTCCCCTCACCTCCCTCGTGCACCTTGGGGTTGTTGGGAAGGGAAAATCATGACTTAGTGATGCGCGGGACCAACCCACTCTCCCCCAACCGCAATGACATGCCGATCAGCGGACGGGTGTCAGGTTTGGGGCCAAGTGTGGAGGATGCGCTATGGCGAGGCTCTGCTACGGTGCCACCCGTCCTGAACGTGAACCTCAGCCGGATAAATCTGAATCTCAGGTAAGGCAGGATTCGAGCCTCGGGGGCAAATTACTCCTACTACCACCACTACCACTACTATGACTACGATCTTGGCGGAAAATTATCAGGGAAAGTCAGTCAATCGGCCCATGGGATGGCGAAATATGGTCGATCCGAGATCAGATTCGCGACCCTAGCGGTGACAGCCCAACGATGGCGATAGGAGCAACAACCGTGTTGGGCAAAGACACGGAGAGAAAAGCCGGAGATTCCGACAAAGCAACATCGTCCATCCGGTTCAATAGTCTCGACGGATCCAACCTCGTTGACAGCCGATGGTGTGTAACCTTCCGCAAGCGGACTGCCGGCGGGGGAAAGAGGAAGAAAAAAAAGAGGAGAGAGTGGACGACAATCGGATTGTCCCGCGATCCAATCGATCATTCTCCGCGAAGCGATTGTATACCACAGTTGGATAGTCAGTCCTCTGACCACGCGGCGGCGCTGGGCTTGGAGAAACTAGTGAGTTGGGCCGTGGTGGTGTCGTCATGGCATCGATCCATCCATTTCTCCGAGATACAAACCGGATGGAGGTGTAGATCCTGTAGATTGCCGATAGTCAGTAAATGGAATGCACTCGAAATTCAGCCCGATGAAAGCGATACAGACTATCATCTACAACAACAATAACCCAAGATAGAAAAAGATAGAACACCACTATCGCAACAATAAACCCACCATATTAGTTACAGCCCACTGTGGCAAGACAAGGGTGTCTGGGTGTGTGGCGCAGAGCTGAAAAATCCATCCATCCAAGCCATGCCATGCCATGCCCTCCTACTTTAGTCAGATAATAGTTAACCCAGCCCAGCGGCTAAGTCACTAACCAAACTAGTGCAGGGTTCAGAAGTCGAATGGATTCAATGGAAAGATAGGAGAAAGAAAAAAAAGTGGGCATGGCAGGCGAGACTATTGCGGCACTAGTACGGGCCGGACTCAACTTAACCTCAAGATTCGGGTCATGGGGGATCCCTTTCATTCCTTTTTGTGTCCTGTTCCGGAAAATCATATTTCTTCTGATTGTTGTGGAGATGTCTTTCATTGCTTTTTGTTGCTGCTCTTCAGATCTATCTATCCATCTGTACTTTTGTCGATCGGGATGGTGATCATGGAGGATATTCTATCATCGATCGAACAAAAAGACACGAGATGGATAGACTTCCTTTGGGACTTAGCGGATCGCGCTAGTTAGTTAGTAGTCAGTGTGTCGCAAGGCGGAGATGTCATTTCGAGACCCTGGTCGGGAATAGATGAAAAAGAGATTACCATTGGTACTTGGGTTGTTTGAGACTGAGCAGGTGGCACGGACAGCGACGAACATTGGTAGTCGGTTAACACTTGTCATTATTAATTAATTGATTAGTTAGTTACTTAACTGACTACTTCTACACCGTAGGATTCTTTTATCTCATCGGGGGAAGAACCGGAGTTTAGTCGGATTTACAAGTGAAAATAGATTAAAAGAGAGGAAGGATTACTAAGAATGGAAACTCAGCAATAAAATAAAACTAAATAAAAATCGGAAATATATATAAATCACAAGATAGAAAGTAGTTTTCAACAAATGTAGTAACTGTAGTAAAATAGGAAATACTAGATCAGGCTACACCCAAAAATGGCAACAAAAGGTCGGTCACTCATTCATTCACTCATTCACTCCTCGGTAGATAGGATAGAGTTCACCAACTTTGACTCCAAACCTTAACAATATCCGGGAATTGGTATGCGATGCGATAGTAAATAGGATCAGATCCCTTCATCTCATCACTAAGTACGTACTCACTCCATAAACTAGGACTGGAGAGAAGGTGAAAAAAGTAAAAGAAAAAAAAAAAAAGTAAACATAAGCCATCATCACCTTACATTAGGGACGAGTCCTCAACCATGGTTCCGAGTGCATATCCTGGGAAAAAAGCATAACCTTAAAAACACCGAAGCTAAAAGCTGGGTGAACCATATTTTTCTTTCTTTTTTCCTTAAGCAGAAAGCTTAGTGGCGAAAACAACTATATTTATCGCTTAGACAAAGAAAACAAATAATTTCTTCAGCTGTCCACGTTCGATGGGGACATGTGAATTCCTACTATGCAGTTATGGAGACATGGGTGTAGAACTATTAAATGCTATTGCTACTACAATTAGAATGGGGGATGGTACTTGCTTTGACTCGATTAGGTACATACACATACACATAACACATATACATAAGTGATAGTAATATGTACATGATACAGCTCGTGTATGTACATGTATGTAAGTTGTCACTAGCTGAGTAGATACATATGTATCTTAGTTACTTACATTACTGTCTATGTACATACTCCCTTGGATAGAAATAAAAATAAATAATAATGCAGCAGAAGTACCACATGTCATTTTGACATACTCTGCAGACATCATCACATATACTCTACGAGTAATAATAGTAGTATACTACCGAGGTAAAACTCTATCCCTACTGATAATCTTCATCACATAACGATTCCGACTACTACTACTACATCCATGTATATCCATGTTTGGCTGTTAGCAGGGTCATCCTGGGAATATTAGTCTTTTCCCCCCCTCTTTCAGAGTAGATACAAGATGCCAACGATCGCAACACTGTGAAACATGAGAGCAAAAAGGAATCTAATACTTGCAAATGCTCCTGCTATATCAGGTTTAGTGTAACTGCTTACACAGATACTTAGATGTCCAACTCTGATACTTAGTTAGCTGAATAGACTAGTAGTAAGGTATGTATGTACCCAACAACCGGGATCAGACCCCTCCTCTATACTTTTTTTTTGCTTTTCTCCTTCTTGCAAGGAACATGAAGGAACACAATCCCAGTCAAGCACGCTTACGGGAGAAAATGAAGTGACCACTTAGAATCCATCTACCCCTCTCATGACTACAAGGATTCCCATAAGCGAAAAAAGCAAGATAACTACTCTAATATCCCAGTATCTGAATAACCTGGGATATTCCTAGTATCTTACCCTGTTTATTATGTCACTGGACAAGATACCACTACTTAGTGAGGCAGTGTAAGTAGGATCGTGATTTGGGCGGGGAGGGGCAGATTACTACATTTTTTACAGAATGTAAAAGTTTAGAAACTGAATGGATAGAAGCATTGTGTTTATCCAGTTTTAAACTGAGTCATACCAACCCAGCACGTTTTGGTGTAATGTATCACACCCACACACACACACACACCCACGCGCTTAACGTCGACAAACATGTGCCAAACAACAGCCACTGTACTACCACACAACCCCACAGGGTTGGACAAACACTAAGTAGCTAACTAAATACTAACTACTAAATACTAAGAGCTAAGCGAAGATATCTAATCACCACCACAACTACTTCAATCCATTACTCATTTACTCTAGTTACTTAGTTACAAAGTAGTCTACATAAGTCATAGACACCAACTACACTAGTAGAGTTAAGTAGTAGTAAGTTTACTGCACCGCAATGGAGTACTGCAAGGGTAATCACCCTAAAACCAGATGATCTAATCCACTCCAAACTCCATTTTATTAACCGCTCTTCCGGGGTTACCCGGATAGGTATCGGGCGTGCAGAACCTGAACTAGTCTTGTCGTGGTTAAGGACATACAGTAGCTCACTGTGGTACACTGGAGCAGGCAGTGTCCTTGGGACTAACGGTGCGAACAAGAAAAAATAAATTAATAGAAAAACAGAGAGGGGGGGCTGGTACTCTAGTTACTACATTGGTAGTCGCCGCATTAGGTAGGAGATTCTCTTTTGACATGATGGTCATCATTATAATACTAACTAACTAACTAACTAGTTTAGCTTTATCTTGATACTATGTATCTGTGCGCTTGCTATGTGCTCCCAGATGGATGTATGTATGTGTATGACTGTAAGTAGTTGTATGGACGAATCCAGTCGTCTTTTTCTGGTGCCATCCCCCTTGTCACTCCTCTTCCCCCCGACCACCCCGTTCTTAACGCCTAAAGCCTAGCCCGTAATCACTAACGCCCCCGAATATGTACGGCATTCCCAGAGCGGAATATCAACGGAAGAAGAAAAAAAGTCGAAAAAAAAGAAGAGAAGAAAAAAACAGACAACCAAGAAGAGAAAGAAAAGAAAAAAAAAAAAAAAAAAAAAAAAAAAAAAGCAACCCCCCCTTTACACCGTAATGCGCCCTGGATGCATTATCCCCACCGTCTGCATACTAGCACCCTTGAACCGTGCCAGCAAGTTACTCACTATCTCCCGATAGGTGTTCATCTGGGAGAGTTTGAACCGCTGGATCTTCCCACTCGCGGTCCGTGGGATCTCCTCCACGAAAATCACCCCTCCATCCAGCGCCTTGTAGCTGGCCAATTGGCGCCGCGTGAAGTTGTACACATCGTCCGCGGTCAGCCGGCTGCCCGTCAGGCTCTTGGCTCGCACCACGAACGCTCGGGGCAACTCCGTGCTGCCGTCCCGCGATGTAACCCCAATCACTGCGGCGTCCTCTATCTCCGGGTGCTTGAGAAGCGCTGCCTCCACCTCCGCCGGCGCCACCTGCCATCTGCACGTCACAGTTAGCACTTGCTTTCGGGGTTTGCTTTCCAACTGACAATCACTTACCCTCGCACTTTGATTAGCTCCTTCGTGCGCCCGTAGATGTAGAACTGCCCGGCGCTCACGTACGCAACATCGCCGGTGCGGAACCACCCTCGGGCGTCTTTGGCGTCTGACCGGCCCTTGTATCCACTGAGGACCCCGGGCCCGCGCACCCAGAGCTCGCCAGGTTGGTTGTCCTCGAGCACCAGCTGGTGGTCCTGTCCGACCAGCCGCACCTCGTAGCCCGCCAGCAATCGGCCAATGCTGCCGGCAGGTGCCTGCTGGGGACCATAGCGATTCTGGAACACCACCCCCACTTCCGTCATCCCCCACAGCTGGGAGGCACGGGCGTCACTATGAAGCAGTTCCCGAAAGCGCTGCATGGCGGCAGCATCAATGGGAGCGCCCGCGACCCCAACATACCGGAGAGAGGACAGGGAGCTTGCGGCGGACGCGGCTGACCGATTGAACTTGTGAATCATGGCGGGGACCATGTAGGTCTCGGTGATACCAAAATCGCGCACCGTCGCAATGAACTGGGTCATTTCAAATCGCGACAGCACAAACAAGGGCTCGCCATAGCGAATGGGAAATAAGTGGGTCCACAATGCGCCAAACATGTGGAACATCGGGAGCGACATCAGGCGAGTTACCTCATAGGGCACATCGTAGTGGATGGTGAGGTGGTGAGAGATCATGGCATGGTGGGTGAGGTAAGCTGCCTTAGGCAGGCCTCCGGTTCCGCTGGTGGAGAACATGGCGGCCGGCGTCGATTTGGCGATCCTCTCGTCATCAAAGGCCACCCAATCACTTTCGCCATACGCCAGAAGGTGGGCGAAGTTCACCAAAGAGCCGCCCCCACTACTCGGTAGTAGGTAGGAGGTGCCGGCAGTCGCATAGGCCAATGGTCCGGCGAGGAAGTATTGGGCGATGTAATCCCCTGCAGCTTCGTCCACCAAACACACCTGGCTGGGATGCATTCCGCGGTCGGCTGACACGCTCAGCACCGTGGGCAGTGCATCGGACGAGGTGATGATCAGCTTTGGCTCCGCCAGTTGCAGAATATGCTCCAGTTCTTGTGGTTGGCTGCGCGCATTGGAGCCCATGAACACACCGCCAGCGCCGATGATACTGAAGAACAGCGCGGGGTATATGATCTACCACGCCATGAGTCAGTGAGAAGAGGATGATGGAGGGGCATGATGGGATGACGACAACATGATGGAGAAACAGGTAACAAATCAAATGGACGAGAACAGAGAACAGGAGGGTGGTGAGGTGGGGGGAGGGGCAGAGATGTCGAGGTTGAGTTAAGTAAGTAGTATTGGGGGGAGGGAGATTTGATAAGCGGGCCAGTCAGGGGAGGAAGATGATTAGATGACTACTACTTACACTATTGCCCAGGTGGACCAAGACACAATCGCCAGGCTGTACGTTGTGGGCTTTGAGGCCAGCAATCAGCGCTCGAACCAGCGTCTCGAACTGCAACGCGTTGAAGAATCGCGTAGCGTCCTCAGCGTCGATGAATATTGGCTGTTGCCGGTCATAGTGGACTGGGCCCCGAAAGGCGAAGGTCAACAAGTCGGTGTAGAAACCGGCACCATGGTTGTTGCCGTGGTTGTTGACCTGGTCCAGCTGATTGTCGGGGGAGGTGAGGTTGAAGGGATCGCCCAAAGTGGGAGACTCCCAGAGACTACCCATCGTGGAGGAATTTACTGGTTGATTTGCTCACAAAGAACTGAAGGGATGATTGACGGGAATTGGAGAGTGGAGGAGGAGAAGATAGGAGTGGAAACCAAAGATGGAACAGGAGAAGGGTTGGAGAGAGAGAGGGAGGGAGGGAGGGAGAAGGAGAAGGGAAACAGGAGGAGAGAGGGTGACGATGAGAAAGACAGGAGAAGGAGACAGAGAGGGAAGAAGAGGGTCAATTCAGTCCCGTCCAGTTAGTGTTGCCAGAGTTGAATCAAGTCCAGTTGAGTCCAGTCCAATGTGAATCAAATCACACATGCCCCGTTTCCAGTGTGGAAGTGACGGGAGCGGATGAGAACAGTAAGTAGTATGTAGTATGTAGCACGGAGGACCGAGGACAGTTTGGTGAGTTTGGTAGAAGGCAGTAGACAGGAATGATCACAAAAGATCAAGAAGAAGAAGAATAATTTCCCCGATCCATCAAAGGGGAATTCTGGGGCTGATAAATATATCTCCATTTCATGATGGGAAGTTTCAGAGGGTAAAAAAAAGGACCAAGCTCATGAAACCACCAAACAACTAATCAATCCTGCGGCGAGAGTGAGAGAGACAGAGAGAGAGCGCGCGCGACAGCTCGAGCCCGAGCCAGAGTCCGAGGGGGGCGGCGTGTGAGTGAGTGGATGTGAGTGGATGTGGGAATGACAAGGAATTCCAGATTAATTCCAGTTTTATTTTTCTTACCCATTCGATCCCATGCTAATAATGCCATGATTTGGAATTTGGAATTCCATCCATTCTGAGTCTCCCCAAGATCGGGGCGCGGATCCCACTCCGACCCACTGGCTTCCCCCAAGACATCGAATGACAGCCGCCGAGTGCAGCTCCCGCTAAACCCGTCGCGGTTTCGTACTTCAGATCGCATCCCGAGTGGGTCGCGAATGGCCAGAGCGAACAGCTCCCGTCATGCAGACGAACTCACCTCTAATTCCCTAGAGGGGAAAAGGGAAATATACAAAATTGAAAATCAAAATTCGGAATTCGGAAATCAAGAAAAATAAAATGATAAAGAAAATACGTAGATAAGAAAATCAGAAACAAGCAAAGAAGAAAAAGAAAAATCAACAGGAATTAAAATAATCAAAAGAATTAGAGAGAGAGACAGAAAGAAAAGAAAAAACAAAAACAAAAAAGAAATCTCCCATTCTCCACATTCATGATCTTCCCAACTTACCCTTTCCCATCTCTTTCCCTTCTTTCTCTCTTTTCTCTTCTCTCTTCTCTTTTTGTTCCCCATAACTTAACTTAATCCATTATTGGGCATCTCTTCAGCCCGAACACCCACGGTTCTTGACTCAATCTTCCTCTTCCTGCCCTCCCATTGGATCTGTGACTTCCACTTTGCTGCCCCCCCCCCCTGTCATCGAGCCTCTCGATCGTGCATCTCCCTCCCGCCCTCGTTCTTTTCTTCCCTCTTTGAGTATAGCCTCCAATCTTTTCCCATCGATTCATTCCCATTCCCCTCTTTTCTCCCTTCCCACTTTCACTCTTCAGGAATCGGCGGAGCGTTTAGTAGTTCGAGTCCTCGTGCAGCTGAACCCACCGGTTAGATCTCCCGCCTTGGGAATCGAACTAGCGTTCGCTCCCTGGTTGACGCCCCAGCCTGCTGGATTTGGGGGCCTTTGTATTCAGCTTCCAATTCAATCCTGATCTCCCACCCATCGTGCAATCATGCCTGCGGGTTTGGTATCCACCTTCGCCTGACCCATGCTAGGCTGACGTCTTGCTAATCACTTTGGCAGCCAAAGTGCACTTCCTTTCCTGCAAGATGCGCCTGGCACCGCTGAAATGTACCCCGCCCGCTAATGGAAACCTGGCTGGTGGTACGGTGTGTGTGGGTAATCCTCTGATCGTTCACGCAACTCTAGTCGCGGTGTCTGTTGCTCTTTCAGGCGCATGCACGCTGCCCTCGACTCCATTACCGGGCCGCCTGGCCAGCACCTCGGGACACACTAGTCTAGTCTCTCCCAGCGACATGGCAGGGCTCCATCTGCAATCTGCGTCTGCCACCGATAGACTCTTAGTTGACTCTCCCAAATAGGAAAAAAAGCAAGGAATCTGTGCGTCCTGCATGGATCGTAGGTGGATATGATGTTGCCGCCGGGGCCCTGTCAAGTCAACTCTTTCACTGCTCGGCCTCCCAACAATCATCCTGTGTCCCGTGCTCCGATAATCCGATTATCGATTTTCTCATTGCCTCAATCCACCCCCCCAATCGGGCGGTGCAGCGGTGGGGAATACGATCCTCCACCTCCCCCCGTGGCAAGCATCATTGCGTCTCACACGAGTGTCTTCACCTGCTAGCGTCAGGCAGGGAAACCCTGACCCTCCTGCAGGAGCCACTCGGACTGGTTGCGCCGGATCATGCTAATCTCTAGACCCTTCTATCTAGTTATCACCCTCACTAGATTCATCAGCCATGGATCTGGGGCGGCACGGTTCACTCCCCCTCCCTCGGGGACCATCCCATGGATCTCCTCTTTCTCGATTCGGGGAATGCAGAGCTGAATCTTGAATGGCACCATGCCATCTTTCACTGCTCATTGGCAGTCCGCCTCCAATCCACCAATTTAGGGTGGGATCCTATCCCGTGCAATAGTATCAGGCGTCAGGTCCGGTGGATGAAAACCTGGAAAACCTGATGCAGGCTGAAAAGTGAAGTTAAAAAAAAATTAAAAAATAAAAAATAAAAATAACACAATGAAAAATATTCAAAATGAAAAAAATGAAAATAAAAATAAAAATCAAAAGGATTATGTAGAGGGAAAACGGGCCGACAGTATGCCGCATGCGGTATGCGTCCAGCTGCTGAGAACATGGACTAGGCACAATAGCCCCAAGATAACTCCGGTGTTCGATGTAGGTCCACGCTTCGGGAAATATAGTTCTTCTGCATCAATATGAGATGTCGTCATCCACAAAGATTCAAAAGACGCAGGTGCCCATTCACCGCAGTTGGTTCACGGCAATGCCAATTCGGAGGTGAAGCGTGAACGCCTGTCAGGTTCCTCCCTCTTACACCCCCTCACCTCATCTCTCTCAAATCATTCGTTGGGCCATGATCTTGCCTAGGGTATAGCCAGATTTTGCAATTGATCTTTGTTTCCCTATTGCGTCGGTCTGTACCTGACCCTCACACCAACCCTTGCCACTCGCATCCTCCCCCTCCATCTCTGTTGGTTGGGATAACCTCTCTGGGGTACCTGCTTCTTGTCTTCTCACCCACCCTCCTCCCTCACATCCTCTGATTTGGAATCTCCCGAATCAGTATGTCATCGTCTCCAGTACAGACCGTTGTGTCGGTACCACAGCCTGCCAAATGTGCATCAGGCCCACCGAGCCCAGGCGAGGCAACATTGACGGACCAGACTATAGTCAATGAGCTCTCAGAGAAGGTGGAGGCTTCGCACAGTCATGCAGGCAACAACCCCTGGGACCTTGAAGCCCAAGAGCACAAGGTGAAGAAGCTATCTCGGATCCGGTATGCCTTGCTCAACATCTACCGTCGTCTCTTCACCTTGGTCTTCCTCGCCAATGTTGCCGTGTTCGTGGCCATCATGGTCACAGACCGGACCCTATTAGCCCTGGTCAACGCTACCGCCGGCAACCTGATGGCATGTGGATTGGCACGACAGCCGTTGGTAGTCAACTCAATCTTCATTTCGGTTTGCTCGATACCGAGATCAGCTCCGAAATGGTTGCGTCTGTTGGCCGCAAAGGCATATCATTATGGCGGCGTGCACAGCGGATGTGGCGTAGCCGCTTTCGTCTGGTATGTGGGATTTGTGGGCGTGATGTCTCGGGAATACTGGACCGGAGTGTCGGTCCTATCCCTTGCGCCCGTTATCCTGGCATACGTTATTCTGGTCCTGCTGCTGGCAATCATCATTGTGGCCCACCCGAAGTTCCGCTTCAAGCGGCACGACTACTTCGAGCTGACGCACCGGTTCTCCGGATGGCTCGTCGTGGCACTCTTTGTGATACTGCTCATGATCTTCGCCGACCAAGCCAAGGCGGCGTACCACGAATCCCTGGGTCGGTTCCTCATCACCCTCCCTGCGTTCTGGTTCTTGATGGTCACGGTCGTGGCAATCATCCATCCCTGGCTTCTTCTCCGCAAAGTCCCCGTCCGGGCCGAATACCTCTCCTCGCATGCGGTGCGTCTCCACTTCACGCATACCACCACGAACTTCGGCAAGGGCATCCAATTATCTCGACACCCACTGCAAGACTGGCATGGCTTTGCCACGTTCCCAGACCCAGAAGGTAAAAGCTTCTCTGCATTGGTCTCCAAAGCAGGGGACTGGACGACAGCCTGCATCCAAGACCCACCCACCCATCTCTGGAAGCGAGGGGTTCTGATAAACGGCTTTGCATACGCAATGCGGGTCTTCAAGCGCGTGGTGGTTGTAACGACAGGATCCGGAATCGGCCCGTGTCTCTCCTTCCTGGGGGATGCGAACCGGCCAGAACTCCGAGTGCTCTGGCAGACGCGGGCACCACTCAAGACCTACGGTCAGGACATCCTGAACCTGGTCTCCGAGATGGACGCGAACCCGGTCGTCATTGACACCAACCAGGCCGGGCGAATCGACATGGTCCCAATAATCCGACAGATGGTTAGGGACTTCGACGCCGAGGCTGTCTGCGTGATTAGCAATCCGTTCGTCACGAAAAAGGTAGTATACGAACTGGAGTCTCACGGCATCCATGCATATGGACCGATTTTCGATTCATGAATTCACGTTGTTGTGCATATCTCTTCCATCTATGTATCTCTTTATTCTTTTCATGTTCATGGTTATGTGGCTTCCTTTTCAATGTTTGGTTTGGTTTGATGAAAATATCCCCGGAGTTTATTATGGAGTTCAAGGAAGATGAAGAAAGAAAGGAGACGACGCGAACGGATCCAGAGGAGCAAAGGTTCAGGAGTTCGCGCGGCAGGCACATGGTATTTATCTCTGAGTGATGGCGTTTCACATATGGTCGCGAAAAGGGGGGGGGCAAGGCGAGGCGAATCCGGCAAGAAAGAGCGAATCATGGAAGTGGTGGTGAATGAATATCGATCTGTTCAAGTGCACATAACACACTCACATAGTGATGAAAGGGTAGTAGTAATAGTAGTACTGAAACAAAAGGGAAGGGAAGGGGAGGGGGGGTTGGTTGCCTGAACTCAAGCGCACACACACACACAGACAGAAACCTTAGCTTCACCAACCAGGTACTAAGAGTAGTAGTATCTAAAGGACCCCTCCCACTACTTAAATAAATCACAAAACAATTGGAACAAAATCACTAGTGGTTCAAATTCCTCAACTAACCTACCACCTACCAAGTTAAGAAACATCAAGTCCAACACAAAGTAACAAAAGGTACTACACCACCATCACATGCAGATTACCGATCCGATCTGCAGGGGGATTTTAATAAAGTGAGAGGGAGCAAAAAAAAAAAGGGCCGAAACAGGGCAGCGCAGCTTGTGTAGCACGAGCAATTAGCTAGTAGTTTACCTGACTTGCCCACTGGACAGAGAAATGGATCTGGGTACTTGCATGAGATTGCAACCTGAATATTGAATAGTGGGTGGATGGGTGCAGCAGATGTCACACACACACAAACACAAACACACATTACACACAATTTGCGAGGCTGAAAAGAAGAAAGGCGAGAGGAATAGATTGAAGAGAAAGTGGACTGGACTGGACTGGACTGGTGGGTTCAGACCCAAGGTAATGGCAGCAAGCAAGGGTGTCCTGTTGTGGTGGTGAGGTTTTCATTGAGGTGAATTGGGGAAGAAGCTGTACTACCCGATTGTGTCACACAAGCTTTACCTGGCTGGGGTTGGGGGATTTGCAACTATGGGGTTACTAAAGGGCGATCACTCGTTCCGGAGGTGGAACTTGTTGTTCTTGTTACGGTAGTTTGGGATGGGGCTGGAAAGGCTTCGTCTCGGAGAATATTATTCTTTTTGTTTATTTCTATTATTCAGGTGTATTGGTAGCGATCTTGACATTCTCAGTTGAGAACAAAAGGTACAGAACAGAAGAAATAGCCAGGTGTGACATATAGTAGCGACTATGGGTATCATGCAGGACTGAGAATTCCCCACTCCGTGATAAGACAAAGAAATTTCTAAAACACAAACTTTTTTCGATATTCCCCCCCCCCCCCCCCCCCCCTTTTTATTTAATCCCATGCCATTGGTATTAGAAAGCGTATTAGGAAATGGCAAGCCAATTTGTTTTGAGTGACTGTTGAAAGAAACTGAGATGAATACGAATCTCTGTGATGTATTAATCGTCCAATTCGTTAAAAATCGTAACGTCGTAAGCGGCGTGGCTTTGAATGGACATCTGTTGAGTCCAGGTTTGTTGAAAAAGAAAAGAAGATAGATGAAGGAAAGTCGACGGTGAAGTGACAGCGTGACGTGTGTCTTGAGCTTTGAGAATCGACAGACGGCGCTCGATTGCTGGCTGCAGGTACCGTCGGCTCCGCAGTCAGATCATCGGTTGTCAGGCGAGACCGACCACGGATGGAAGAGTGAGTAGAGTCACTGTCCAGTCGAAGGGAGTCCATGCGCTCCAATTGCTCATACTCTGGCAGGTGAATGGGGGATCCGTGATAGTCCTCCATGATGCTGTCGCCGTCCAGCATGGTGTATCCAGGCGGGCTGGCAGGCACATCTTCGTACACTGGAGGCATCTCTTCATCCCAGCTAATTCCAAGACCGCTGCGCTCCGTAACATGAAGGTGGAACTGCATGCGCAACACGCGCGCTGCTCCAGTAGGAGTGATGAGCTTGGGGTTCCGGTTCGGGCAAAATTCCTCAGCCACGATCAATTCAATGACAAGGTTGTGCCTCGCTTCCAAGCCACCGGGGGTTTCGAGATCGCAAACAGGGTTGCAAGAAGGGTTGATGTTCGCCTCGAACTGCATGCTGATTTCGCCGCCAGCGGTATCAAAGTCAGTCTTCCAGCCTTCTTTCTCTTCGTTGTGGCCGATGATGCGCGTCTCTTGGTGCAGAACTCCCTTGCCCTCGCCCCCAATCTTGTGTGCATGCTTGGTGCAAGCGGTGGACACGATCTTTTGGTGTTCTTCGATCCGCCACATCATCTTGCGCAGGCGCCAACGAGTCTGTGTGTCTTCCTTTTTATCCACAATTCCGCTCAGAGTCATCTGAACAGGGAAGGTCCCAATCGGGTGCACCACAGAGGGAAGAACGATGCGGCCGGTGAGGTTGGTGGGAGGGAAGATGCGGATGGAGGACTTGTCGTTTCCGGGAAGGATGGCACGCTTGATATGCACGGGCATCTCGTAGGTGTATTCCTCACCGTTGATGTTGTGGGCACGCGCAGAAAGGAAATACTCGACCTGACCAAGCGAACCGTTGCAGGAGGCGGGTAGATGACCGGGGAACAGGTAGCTGAAGGGGAATTCATGGTCGCCATTCTTGAGGTGGATTGGCTCCGTCAGGAAGTTCCAGTGGGTCAGCTCCTCAGTGCGCGATGCGCAGTTAGCGCAGTCTCTGGAAACAGGCTTCTTCGTCGTCAGTCTGCTCATGAGGCGCATATCGAAAGTGTCCAGGGTAACCATGCCGGCCAGCTCGGAGATGCTGATCTTCAGACGCCCCGAAAAGAGAGCACCAGTGGAGTTCGCAGGGGATCCGTAGCACACAAGTGGCGGGGATTCGACGATGACGTCTAGTTTAGCGTGAGCATGGGCAATTTCCTCTTGTCCGGCGCGCTCCTTCGAACGGGAGGACCGGCCATGGCTGCGTCGCTTGTCCTTGCTGTGATCACGGTGGGGGTGGATGAGGTGTTCGACGGCGAAAGACAGACGACGCTCGGGTGAACGGGCTCTTTCCGCACCATGAGCGGATGGCTTCTTGGAGACCACAGTATTCGGTGGGATCTCATTCACAGACGACGAGGACGAGGAGTTGGAGTGGGAGACGGGAGAATGGTGAGAGTGGTGGTGAGAGAGGGAGGGGCGAACGAAGCTGGAGAGTAGACGGCCAGGCATGGTGTCAAAATTTCTAGTGGATAACACTTAGATTTTGTGACAACCGTGCCGGGCAGAAAAGAATATGAGAATTTCTGAAAGCCGGTTTTATAGGCCCCTACTTGAGCTGCGGAGAAAATGTTCCGGCGGGGTGGTTGCTGTGGATGGGATAGGGATGGTTCGAAGACTAAAGCTTGTATATGTAGAAGCTGCTGAACAATAACTTAGGAAGTGATTGTTTAGGAAGTGCTTCGATATTGGTAGAGTTGCGATGTGTGGTAGACGACCAAGTACATAATCCAGTTGCAGTGTGGTATTGTTGACGCTCGTCTAGATGTTGCTGTCAAGATAATGGAATGGAGTATCCAAGCACCGGTATGGGGGATACAATGGGAGAGTGCGGTGGTATAGTTGAAGTCACCACTTGGGTTCAGATGCTATGGGATGGTGAAAGGAAGATGAGGTAAATTGGATGAGACAGAACCAGAAGAAATAGAAGGAAGAATTGAAGTGGGCGAGCAGCTGCCTTTGAATGAACGCAACAAGCTTTTTTATTTTTTAGTACCAGATATATTCTTCCCCAAGGGAAAAGAGAAAAAAAAAGGACTACCTCAAAATCGAATTTTCTGCTCCTGAATTTTTTTACTTTCCCAATTTCGCCCTTTTTTTAGTATGGTTTCTTCTAGGACGTTCCCACCGCATGTAACAGGTGCCATTCATTCCCTGGTCTGGCCACCTTCAGGGCTCCATCTCATCGGGCGGACGATGGAGGTCTGGTGGGGCGCGGCAGAAAAAGCGTCATTGTGGGTCTTACCATACGCTTTCCATACGTGACAAAACGGCTGTCTCCGGCGGAAAGCGTCTGCGTCTGAGAAACACTTCGTTCCTGTCGTGCTGCTTGGCGGAAGGATTTCCCCGAGGAGAAAGGCGTGAGCCATGCAACAGAATGGTTTGACAGGCTCCATTGGCCATTGTTGTCGATGTGTGGTTTACACAAGATCATGCGTGATCTAGATACTAGATAGATATTCGTATGGAAGAGTTACATTTACATCAATGGGACATTCTAGATCTGGAGACTCATTGTCAGTGGTTAATGTGTCCCCACGGTGGACTTCACAGTAGATGCCATCGACTCAATTCTAGAATATTCAAGGACTCGTCAGCCTATGGAAAGTTGGGGCTGTTCATTCAAAGTATCATGTCAGCTACTAGTTAACCAGAGTAGTCTGACCCCATCCCCGGATCTGTGATTCGCAACCACCCCAATCAAAATGTATGATCTATGTATGGCAATGAAATCAAGGCGACACACAGTCTTGTCCTCGGCTAAATTCTACGGAAGGTAGGACTTGTTTCGACTTCAGCGCAACATGCGCGCCTTACCGACAGGGTTGAATCGTTCATATTTCTTCGAAACTCTACGCATGTGATACCGTCCGGGCTCATGCATACTGCTTCTGAAAAAGACGTGCTACTATCTGCATGAAGAGTGTTTTGCGAAGCTGCAACAGAATCGTATTAATCAAGCATGCTGCATCACTTGAACAACTTCGCTAGCCACAAAGCATGGTGATTAGCTCCCCCGATGTCCCTCTGTTGAGGCCGTGCGCAATGACTCACTCCTACCCCGTAGAAATGGACTTAGTCTGGCTGTCCCTGGGTCCGGAACGAAGTCCCATCCCCTGGCTGTCGATCTTTTGCTCGCAAATGTTTGCGTGACCCAGGCGCGTATTCGTAGAGAGGCGGTGATGACTTGACGCAATATCTACTAGTGATTATTCAGAATGAACTCGTGGCTCTAATGATCGGGCTTCGAGATCATGCCAAATTGCTCAGTGATGTTGTCATGTCCTTTTGTTGGAGATCCGAACCAAGGATGATGGGGCTGACTAAGGTTCTAGACAATATTCCCCTCCAGGTCAGGCCACAGTTTGATTGGGCCGTTATATACTTGGGGGCCCAGGGCCTGCCACGACAACCATAGTACTGCGTCTGTTGACAGCATTAGTAGAGAGCCAATTTGTTAGGTGTGCCTGATGAGCGACGAGAAGCGAACACAAAAGAGGCATGACAAGTCAGTCAGTCATCACACTTAGTGTTTCCGGCACCGAATATCCGTCCAAGACGGCTGCCGGGACCTGAGCCCGGAAAGACACCTGACAAAATGGGCGCTTTCTTTGCTCGTTCAGGAAGGTCAGCTGCCGTCATCAAACCATCACGTGGCGTCATATAGCGCACAGCGAGCCTGAAAATCTGAACAGTCGCAAGGCGGTCTGGCGCAAGTCTTGCGCGTACGAGCGGTGACCGGCACCGTGACGCGGGTATACATTACCATACCGCAACACGTTGCGACACTAATTGGAGATCCTCTGGATCCGTGATGCCGCTTGCACTTTTTGAGCCAACGAGGCGCAGAATCCGCGGACGGAGGGAGACGCTAGCCCCATCAGAACCAGATGTTTTGCGTACGGAATGGGAACCTTTTGGGAGAAAGAAAAAAAAATCTTCACAGATTTTTTTATTCCAACGCAGCGCCTCTTAAGTCTTGAGGTTACAGCTCGGCCAGGTTCCACATCCCGACAAGGCCAAAAGTAATAAGAAGAAAAAAGACTAAAATGTCAAGGGCAAAGCCGACAAAATCTTGATTGGGACTTTGTGCCTTTTTTCTTTTATTTTCACCCGTTCGGTACAGCGGTACCCTGTTCGAATGAGACTTGGTCGAGTGGCTTTGTCAGAGGCTCGGGCTCAGGCACTGAGGACCTGAATGACGAAGCTGGCTGCAGGCTCTCCTCGTTATTGCCATTCTTGGCCAAGTCTCAGGATTGATTTTGACGGCGCTAACAGGGACCCTTTCACTCAGGAGGAAGATTCCGTTGTCGCTCACTGCAAGGCGATAGGTTCGCCCTTTTCCCCGCACTGCTGAAAAATTCCGTTCTATGCGGGGCATCACATCATCCGGCAGCAGTTGCCGGTCGGCCGGTGTAGTAAGTAAGTGAAGTGGTTGTTAGCCTCGTAGTATAGCATGAGGGTTGCGTGAGAAACAACAATTGAATGGGGAAATAATTACTCAGGAGATTAACATATGATATTCACTTAAGTACTACTAACCTTGAAGTTCTAGACTAAAGCAACGTGCGTTGTGACTTGGCCAGGGACAGTTCTGACGTTCTGACGAATGGCTACCCATTGCCGCCATACCCATTACCTAACAGTTTCACCACCACCCATTGAGCTGCCAGGACGACAGCATGCGCAATGCTGAATGATCGGTCTGACCTCTGACGATCCAGGTACCTTGGCCGACTTTTCACCTTGATGGTCCTCCAGCTGTCGGCTTGACCGTCCCGGTTCGCTGAGAGTTTCGGCACATCTTGTTGCTGACGGCCACGGATGGCCGATTCGATCACGCCACGAGTTCGGAGGTTACTATACAGGATTTTAGCCTCAGTGTTACCCGCCAAGCCTCAACTACAATGTACTGGTCGGTTCATGTTACAGGATCGCAGGTCTTTCATATATGGGGATGTTAAAGAATTGATATTGACTGTATCAGGCTAAAATCTGGGTCGGCAAGTGCCGCCTCCAGCTGATGCTCCTGAATAGTACTTCTACATCTAGTAAATCTTGGGGAAAGGCCAACGCAGGTGCATGCAGTAAATCTTGGTCCATTGCGCAATACACTGATGATCAGACAGTAAAGACTGCATCCGGTGACCATTCTTTACTTGCAGAATACTCCTTACTGCTGATATGATTTCCCCAATTGCATGAAACTCACCATCCAGGCTAGTCTTTGCTCTATAATACGAATCTGTTTGATATATGGCGACAGATACAAACCAACTCCGACAAAGTATGACCAAATTCTCCATAAACGCTAGGTTCTTTTCTGCCAATCGTCTAGTTTCATCCAGCAAGAGTTGCCTAGATGAGGGATTTCTACTCCTGCCTGAGCACGCATGGCGGTTGCGTTATTAACCGCCATCTTTGGAGCTAGTGCCGTGACGGCTTCATGAAACCCCCTCCCAGCTTGGATGTGCAGAAGCTTGGACCCATTCCATGCAGCTGCAAAACAGGTAGTACGAGTAGTAGTAGTAGCGAATGGTCATAATAATGATGCCAACTACGAATGTTATAGCGTTTTCTCACAAGGTGCAAGGCCATGTTTACTGTTTCTCCCTTTCCATTGGGTCTTTTCCTCGGAAAACCCCTCCCAAGGTGGATGTTGGTACTACTTTGTATTTAGCGGTACGCCGCACCCCCCGTTTTTATCGAACGGGGCATGCCCACCGGCCCGGGTCTCTTTTCATGGTTAGCTTTGGCGGACTCCATGCGATGACTCTTCACCATGGCACTAGCGCCTCAGAATTTTCTCTCCTTTCTCCTCCAAGGTCTCTGGACGAGCTGAATCACTCACTGATGCCCCATTTAGCCCGAATTACACCATTCTGGGCCAGGACTTCGGCGACTGCCGTTGTCCCCCAATTCCCTTGCCCGGTAAGGTCCTCGACGGAAGTCAGATCGGTCCGTGGGTACACCACTTGCAGTCTTTGGTTGACGCCGTACCTGCCGTCCGCCCAGGTTGATGCTATCCACTTTCTACCGCTTTTTCTACACAAAACATTATATTTCATGACTAACGGTGGCCCAATGGTCTCAGATATCGTCGCTCAAGTTACTCGCTTTATTTGCCTAGACCGACTGCAAATTGCCACGACGTCTGTGTTTACGTTTCGTGGCAGATTCACGGTTTCTTATAACCTTACAATAAGATAGACTCTCGAGCTCTTGAACCCCGCGGGGGTCAAGTTCGGCGCGTTGATCCCGCCATAGCCTCAGACTGGTCGCTTGAACATGATTGCGTCGTAAGGACTTTGCTCGGCGGTATATACATGGTCGTTTTCGACATTGAATTGCTAACCTATAGCTACTGGCCGCGGCTTGCTGCGCAGCAATTGCCATGTGAACCGACCCTGGCAGAGAGTGTGTCCGCGGGTTTTCAGCCCTACAATACCGGCTATCAGCACCCGAGAACTTTGATGGTAGGATATCCCACGACCTTCGTAGCCAAAACCTCCTATTTGGAATTTACTCCGGGCCGAACTGCAGAGGACGTGGATTTCTGCCAGAATTAAGCTGTCTTATTTGCTCCACGTGCTAGTGCAGTTAATTTTCGGATGTTCTAGAAGTGACTTTTGTTGCTAGGAGAAGATTGTATACTGACTTTACTTTCGAGACTCCCTCGTGACTCGAATGTGTCTTGCGGCTGGTCATTGACCATCTGGGATACTGATACTGATCCCTAGGACCATAGTCACTAAATCTAGATCCAGCTACTATCAATGATCATTATCTAAACCAGAAAAAGAGAGCTGAATCACGGCCATGTGATGACGTCTCTATTCAATCTGGCCCCCGCCACCACCGACTCTACCCGCGGGAGAAACACTAGAAACTGACAAGGAATCACTAAGAATCAACAAGGAATCACTAGAATCCTTGATCAATATATCGATTGTAGTGTCGTCTCACATTATTGGCTATACCCGGTACTACTAGTGACATTGGTTATCTTTTGGGACCGGAGAACCGCGGGGTCTCCGTACTTTGCTTGGTACAGTCAGTCTTTGGATGCCGTCGAGCCGAGACATGTCTCTTTTCCAAATACTACCCTGGGGACACGTCTAGCCCTTCCTTGATTTGTATATCGACGTGGAATTCGTAAGCAGTCCCGGGCTATGAGCTATAGGACCCATGGTGATAGCCTTGTCCTATTTCATAAGGTTGGCTGGGTCTGCAAAAGGACCTGCAAATGCAAGTGCTCTGTGCCATTCATGTGATTGGTGGGGACCATAACCTCCTATTCCACGCGTTAGCTTACTAATTTATCAACGGATTAGGAAGGTGACAGCTGGGTTGTTGGGAGATACGTATGCTGTTGCTGAAAATGAATATGATTTGAAGTCAGTGAGATGCATTAATAATATTATCAATGTTGACCTTTGAGTCAGCTAAAGGTTGGCATGATGCACTTGGAAGTTTTGATGTCATTGGCGTCGGAATGATCGCTGGTAGTGTAACACGCAATAGCTACACTCTGGAGTGTATTATCTTTTTATTAAATTTGATCTGGAAGGATATTTCGATACTTTTGTAAAATTTTCCTGATAGATATTACTACTTAATTTCTGACTTGTTCCGTATAACAATGTAGCGGATTGGTGAACAATGTTACCAGTCTTCGCTTCCGTAAATATTTATAAAACCACAGGTGGTACCGAGCCTACTAGTATATATTGTCAACATCATGACTATTTTCTAGCCAACAATACTAGTGCTTGGAAGCTTGAGGCCATTTACATCACCTAAGTGACATAGAATCTGATAAACTATAGAATATTCCAAATTCGGAGAATTTATCAGACTAATCTCCTACAATTAGAAATGCAATTGGAACTATCTTCCGATGTACTCAATTCGTAAAGTCACGTGGTGATAGCTCCGCGTCCGGGAGGCATGGAGCTCTAGAGATCGTCAACCTAGGACCCTGAGACGACTCAACTATTTATCCCTTTTCTTAATCTTCACCTTTCAACCCATTGGGGTACCTCTCCCCTAACGATGTCCAAAATTGAATAATCTAACGCACACTGTATGCTATTGCTAAACAATTGGCAGATTACAATTCCAAGCATCGCTTGCAGCATTTCATGCAAGCGGCGAACAATCGTCGAATATCCCCCGAAAAAGCACCCCGTTGAGCTCCTACTTGCTTCTCCCACAATTTGTCAAGCCTCGCGACGATCCATTTACTCCTGACTATTTCCCCTTCATTCCTAAAATCCAACCTTCAAATCGCTTCTTCTCATCACTCCTACGCCATGTCTCCGTCAACCTTGCTCTCCCTCGGTTCCGCGATTCTAGCCGTGTTCCTCTTCTGGACATTATCCTCAACCACGTCCTCACCCTTCGGCGGTGCATTCCCACGTCTATACAACAAGCGGATATGTCTGCTGATCGCCCACCCTGACGATGAAGCCATGTTCTTCGCGCCCACGGTATTGGCCCTGACCAGGCCGGAATACGGCAACCACCTCAAGATCCTCTGCCTCAGCAGTGGTATGCGCCCACCGATACCATCGAAGAAACACCCCCAATACACACACACTAACACCCACCTTGCGCTATGATATAGGAGACGCCGACGGACTGGGCCACATCCGCAAAAAGGAGCTCGTGAAAAGCGCCCTGCAACTGGGCCTACGCCAAGAATCGGACGTATACATCATCGACGACCCCTCCCGTTTCCGCGACAGCATGTCAATCCAGTGGACAGAGTCCGACGTATCAGCTGTTCTCGAACACGCCTTTGCTCCTGAACTCAGCGATAGCACCAATTCCAAGAAGAAGTCGAATAAAGCTGGCTCTGCACCTACGGCGACTATCGACGTGCTCTTGACCTTCGATAAGGGAGGTATCAGCAACCACTCTAATCACCGATCTCTGTACCACGGCGCTGTTCATTTCCTGCGTACCCTGATGAAGGACAAACCCGGGTATACCTGTCCGGTCACTCTGTATACGCTCACCACGACGAATCTTCTGCGTAAGTACGCTGGTATTCTGGATGCGCCGTTTACGATGGTTCGGGGCGCGCTGAACTCCCTAATTGGCCGTGGTGGGAGCTCCAAGGGCCAGCTTCCTTCTCGGCTTCTGTTTGTCAGCTCCGTTAATGAATGGATGACTGCGCAGTCGGCTATGGTCAAGGCACATCAGAGCCAGATGGTGTGGTTCCGGTGGGGTTGGATTACGATTGGTCGGTACATGGTGGTGAATGACTTGAAGGCGGAGAAGATATGATGATGATGGAGCCTGGCTATTGACTTAGCCAGTGACACTTTGATGATGCTTGGCGGGCTGATTGAATAGGTGCCCTGCGTTTGTAGCATATACCCGTATTGTATGTATATGATTATGATTGGTTCCTTGATGGACTGACGTCGTCTGGAGATCTTTTTACAGAGGTCAATTTCCATCCTTGTATAGGTATGCACCCCGTCGTCTCGAGAAGCGCATGGCTCGAAGGGACTGATGCTGACTACTGCTTTCATTACTGACAGAGCAACCTTATTTGTCACCCTATTCTCACCTTGTTCTCACTCATTAATCACATCAAAAGAGTAATCTTAATATTCGAAAAGCACAAAAGAGCTCAATATGCAACTTGTCATATAGACAGGGGTATCCGCTCAGGTAAGGCAATACATGCACACTTGAGGTATCATAACTGACAGCCAAAGATCAGCTCATCATATGGTCCCGCTTAGGACCAGAAGAAAAGAAAGGAATTGAGAGAAATAAGGGCTGAGTGAACGTGTCTCTGGGAATTGTTAACGTTTCCAGATGCGGGGTGAAAGTCACAATCGAAGTTAGAAAGTGAGGAAAAGAAGAAAAAGGAGAAGAGAAAGAAGAAGACGGCGATGAAGAAGTGAGAGAAAGAGAAACGGCTCGAAAATGAGCCAAAATCAAGCCCACAAGAGAGGACCTGGACCTGTGGTTATGGGTTCATCGGCTTCTCCTGCTTGGTGCTCCCTAGTGGTCGCGCGCTGTCTGGGCGTCCTCGCAGCTCTCCTAACCCTAGGGATCTCAAGCTCGCCGGCTTCATATTCCAGCTCTTCGGCCAGGAAAGCTTCGTCGTCGTAAGTGCTACTGACATTGTCTTCTTGGACAGCCTCGAAAAGCCTTCTCAGAGGCGGAATGGACAGATCAAGGTGTGGGGCAGATTGTCGATAATAATCCCAGAAAATGTCGTCATCAATATCGTTCGCGTCGTCGTCAAGCTCGATATTTGTTCCCAACGCTGGCCGCCGGACTGGTACTCTATCATGGGTTCTTATATTACGCTGGCGCCAAGAGGTGGCACCTTCAAATTCGACGAGGCCTCCTCGGGTATGGTATACCACGGACTCTGGCAAAAAGTCTCGCCATTCTTCCAGCGCCTGCGGTAGAAGGCTTCGTTCCCACACTTGGTTCTGACTACCCACCCAGCGGCGGTGAATTAGTAAAAGCCTTGCAAGACGCTCCATGATAACGGTTTGCTGCATAGTGCGCAGGCGCAGAATGTCATACGCGTGCACAGCATCTGCAAAGGCTCGCGATCTCAGAATCTGCGTTTGTGGCTGCCCCAGATATGCTTCTATGATCGACCTTGCAGTTCTCCTCTTCTTTCTTGTCTCCCTTAAAAGGTCATACGCAGCTTCCATATGGTGCTTGAATTCTGACAGCCTGGCGCGATCCCACGCAGTCTTGGCGAGAATATGGTGCACCTCGATTGTTGGACGCACGTTGAAAGGCTCGGCTGTCATCGTTTCGAACATGGAGTTGAGGAAGTCATATGAAACCTGGCCCTTTGCGTCCCTTTCAGCGTCAGGGCCAAACCTCGGACGAGACAAAACGAACGATCGCTCAAATAGCTCGAGCCAGACATTCTCCGGCACCGGGATGTCGTATCTGCTCGAAATAAAATCTATGGTGCGCAGAGCGGCAGGGATGTCATTGTTGGTGCCGAAGGCATGCGCCACGGCGAACAGCAGATGGCTTGTGGGGTACAGCGGTGAGGAACGGTCGTATGGGGTCACCTCCGGGAGCATCGACTCATCGACCTGTTCTAGCAGCGCATCAACGTCAATGTTCNGACGGTGTGCAGGACATTCTTGATTCCTTGCATATGGCCAACTCGGCTTGACGCAAGGATCACATTGACAAAGGTAGTCGTGTCCCCCGAGGTTCCCTCCTGTGTCATCTCGTTAAAGATCTGCAGCACTTCCTTTCTCACACTCCGGGCGGCAGTACCGTAACCTTGCCATCCGGGGTTGGGTTCGAAGAATCTCCTCTTCCGATACAGGTAAGGGGTCATTCTGAGGCGATACTTCTCCAAGCCGGTGTATGCTTTATCCCAGACTTTCGCTTCCATGTAGTAGTTATAGCACTGGGAATCCGGCACCATTCCATCCTCCCTAATTGTATGCCAGATATAGTCTGCCATGATAGCGTCGCCCATTGAGCGTGCGCAATCAAGCAGGTGCGTGTACTCAGCCAAGCCCAAGGGCTGGCCGCCCGCCCACCTGATCTGCAGGATGGCAGACAGGTTATTGGCAAACTCGTCAAAAATCGATTCCAATGATTTGTACTGCTTGACATCGACAGCCGACGGATGAAGGGGACGATGGATTTCCCGATAAGGATCAATAAAGTAAGCCGGAGAGAGGAGATGAAAGACTTCAACAAAGGTGCTTTGTGGCATCAAGCAAACTAAGTTCTCAAAGCGAGGATCAAGCATCGCATCCATCACCTGGTCTGGTTGGCCATCCCGGAGAATAGCGTTGAAGTCTCTCTTCACATCCTCCAAACTCTCGACCTGGGGACCAGCCCCAATGTCGTCCCCTCTGTCGTCTTGTGCCTTGGGGATCTTATGATCGCCCAAGTCAGCCTGACCAGGTTCCAGTATGCATGTTGTTCCCCGTCCTGGCCGTGGAGCATGCCTCTCAGCAAACCTGTCTCTGTTCCCATACTGCATCTCGTTTCGATATTGAGGACGGTATATTGATGGTTCCGATCTGGACGATCGTGGGCGGCGCGTAGGATCCCGAAGTATAAGAAGTGGAGAACAGCGAGGTAGGCCAGGTAATTGACATCGACGGTATGTAGGACACACCAAATGAGAGCCTAAGCTCTCACTGGCACGAATAAACCCCAGCATTGCGATCTGAGGGCCGGAAACATGAAAGAACGTAGAGAAAAAGACCGGGGGGTTCAGGCCGTCAGAAGTTGGGGGAATCGAGCTGCGACTATAAAAGCGGAGTAAATGAGGAGGTGCCGCTTGTTGTGGTCTTGGCGGGCCAGATCCCTGTCAGACTCTGTAGCCTTTTTCACCATCCATGTCCCGCGTCTGCTGTGCACGCTGCAGCTTGGATCCCTCCCCCCTTCCTTTCGTTTGCTTAGCTTCACGCTCGAGTCTCTCCTTTTCCACCCTCTCGACCTCGACATGGCCGACACCGAGGATGCGGGCACATCGTCCGTCTCCGAACCCTTAGATCTGGTGCGCCTGTCGCTCGATGAAATCGTCTTTGTCAAACTGCGCGGCGATCGCGAGCTCAAGGGTCGTCTCCATGTGAGTCTTACGCCGACCTCCGACTTCTGACTACGTGGCGTTTTACTGACATATGGTCTGTGGTAGGCATACGATAGCCATTGCAACCTGGTGCTAGGAGATGTTGAGGAGACCATCTACGTGGTGGAGGAAGACGAGAACGAGCAAGAGACCCTCCGAGTACGTCGCTCTATCCATCTACCTCGGTTATAGTACAACCAGTTAGGGGGGAGGCTATATTAGTGCGGTGCTGGGCTAACGCAGAATGATCGTCTTTAGACCATCAAGAAGCAAGAAGAGATGCTCTTCGTTCGAGGTGCGTTTTGTGATGCCGTTCCCGGCAGAGCCCGGGGCTTGTCATACTGACCTTTCGTAATAGGAGACTCCGTCGTTCTGATTTCGCCTCAGGCATAAGATTTGGGAGGCAATAACAACTAGTAGGAAGACGGATAACGTCGGATATTCTTGGGGCCATCTTTCACCCAAGCTACGAAATACGAGACCACGAAAACACCAGGCGATGTTACAGGGTTTCCAGGCTATACCATATTACCTTTTAATGTATTCACGTACTCGGTCATGCTTGGAGCTGCAAATGTTCTTGTTTCAGATATAGAGGGGTATTAGGAAGGTGTACGGCGTGTGGTACATGGCATCATGCCATCCTGGCATATGTAGCGAGGAAACCAACAGCAGCGACCAGTGTTCCTGGTTTGCAACCTGGCCTAAAACAGTTAATGGAAATTGGCTACTGTGGCAGTAACAAGACAGACATCTCAGCATAGCTTAGCTGCATGGAGAAAATGACTGTGCTGAGCCGTATGACTCAATAAACCGCTTGGGGGCCACACGAGGCGGCGATGACTCGCACTTTCCTATCGATAAAGCTTCCCCGGTTCCCTCCCCGACACTTACTGTCTCATCTTCCCTGCTAGATTCTCATTCACAATCCACCCTCTCATTCACCTATTATTTTGCTCCAGACCCCTCAGTATATTGTTAACCTGTTTTGCTTATCATTACTCTCGACCTGATCTCGTCTTTCACACGTGGAATTATGATAACACGAATACGTGTCTGAGTGCGCCAGCGGCGATCCATCTTCCACCCGACCGAGTGACGCATCATATCGCAGATCGATAACGTGCCTTTTCTCCATAATTTTATTTCTTTTGCCACTATCTTGATAATCGACCAATTTAGCCACCAGAATGCGGACGGCTGGACCTAAGCCCTCGTTGGAAGAACGGCGGAGAGGCGAGATTGTGTGCATCCCTCCCGCGAAGCAATCTGGCATTCCCGCTAACACGTAGCCAACACTTAGGCCCTCAGCGAGTTCGCCGAGTACGCTGAAAAGCAACAGGCCCAGCGATCGGCCCAGTATTTACCTAGTGACAGCGGCTACGAAACAGCCAGCGCAGCTCCAGTAAATGAAGACCATGCCGAACTGGATATTCTCGACCAGCTGGATCTCTCGGATGCTCCGAAATCAATCAAGTTGAAGGAGTTGCTCTTGGGAACTGGTGAACAGCCAGACCATGACCTCCAAATACTCGCAAACATTCTACAAACCCGCATTGACGAAGGACATGGTGAGACTCTCTTCGACCTGGGTCTTGAGGATGGCGGGGAGTCCATGTCCTTTGATCTCAGTCAGTGGAATACAGCCTTGCAGCGCTTGCGGGAAGCGGCGGAAACCCTTCCTGCCCACTGTCGAATCCTCGTTACCTACAATGTCGGCGGGCCTGAGGAATGGCGCGTCAAGCACGAGCGAATCAAAGGCTCTTGGGGCAAGCTCTTGATCCGACAGCCCGCGGGTACCGTGGAGGAGATGGCTGAGATCCGCATGGCAGTTGTTGGCAATGTTGACGCAGGTAAGAGTACCATGCTAGGTGTGTTAGTCAAAGGAAACTTGGATGATGGCCGAGGAAAGGCTCGACTCAACCTGTTCCGCCACAAGCACGAAATCGAGAGCGGCCGGACCAGCTCGGTAGGGATGGAGATAATGGGGTTCGACAGCCGTGGTGACATTGTAAGCAGCGCTCATGGGCGGAAGATGTCTTGGGAAGAAATAGGAAGGCGTTCCGCCAAAGTAATATCCTTCTCCGATCTTGCTGGGCATGAACGGTACCTGCGGACTACGGTTTTCGGCATGCTGAGCAGCAGCCCCAACTATTGTTTACTCATGGTCGCGGCCAACAATGGCCTCATTGGCATGAGCAAAGAACACCTGGGTATCGCTGTGGCTTTACACGTGCCAGTCATGGTAATTGTCACCAAGATTGATATCTGTCCACCGCAGATTCTAGAGGAGACCCTTTCCCAGCTCAGCAAACTTCTCAAGTCGCCTGGCTCTCGCAAAATTCCCATCTTCGTAAAGGACATGGAAGAAACCATCAACACGGCGACACAGTTCGTGAGCCAGCGAATTTGCCCGATCTTCCAGGTGTCCAACGTCACTGGAGAGAACCTGGACCTTGTTCGGACGTTCCTGAATATCCTTCCTCACCGCGGCCATTACAACGTGAATGCCCCATTCGAATTCCTCATCAATGATACGTTCTCCGTACCTCATGTGGGTACAGTTGTCTCTGGGGTGGCCAAGTCGGGTGTGATACACGCTGGCGATACTGTTTTGGTTGGTCCTGACTCTCTGGGTCAATTTACGACTACTACGATCAAGTCCATCGAGCGCAAGCGGATTCAGGTCAACGCTTGTTTTGCAGGCCAGTCGGGCTCTTTCGCCTTGAAGCGCGTCCGACGGAAGGAAGTCCGTAAAGGCATGGTAGTTCTCAAGAAGTTGGATCAGCCTCCCAAAGTCTACAGGGAGTTCGTTGCTGAGGGTGCGTCTACCAGTTGTTCTCTCCCTACTCATTCTGTTATACTGACATTGGTTAGTCCTAATCATATCTCACGCTACTACGATTAAGCCTCGGTATCAAGCAATGCTGCATGTCGGCGCAGTAAGCCAAACCTGCTCTGTCATTGACATTGATCGTCCCTTCATTCGAGGCGGTGACCGTGCGTTGGTTGCGTTCAGGTTTGTTCAGCGTCCCGAATTTTTGGCCCCCGGAGATCGAGTGCTTTTCCGGGAGGGAAAGACCAAGGGACTAGGGGTTGTCAAGAGTGTGGGATACGATCCCAAACAGCCTTTGAATCCGGAGGCGAAGAATGCCGCGGAGACGAGCAAACAGGTGTGACGGGGTTCCGTGGCTCTCTTACCCGAAGGAGACATAGTTTGGGATTGACAGAGGCGTTCATATTCGGCTACGAGACATTCGCAGGTTTTTCTGCGCAAAGGCCATGATGATCCAGGTTTGGCGCTGATATTTATCGTAGGGGATCACATTCTTACTGTGAACAATTCATATTGCATTTTCGTTATTTGCTTGCTTTTGGTGTGCTTTGTGTGGTGGCGTGGCGTTGCTGAGGGAAGCTCTAAGTATCTACGAGTCACCGTTCCAATTGTGCTGCCCCTAAGGGTCTCTCTTCGTCCATAGAATTCTAATTGACTTTGGCTTTGCTCCTCTTTCTCTTGCATTGTCGCTGCCAGTTGGTCGGTCCAGAGCTACCCACGTGACAGGTGACGTCCCCTGACGTCACGGGATGGGGTGATGACATCGCGGGTTCAGCGATCTACAGTCAATGGCTGCCAATGCGCTCCTTAATGCTTGTCTGTTTGCGCTACTTTCGCCTCGTGCCACTGACGTACTATAATATGCTGCTGTTCTCTTGCCTTTCTAGAAAAACCGCATCCCGCAGATTAACCAGCCTTTTCGAAACCCCGCCCACAGCTCTGACGACACAAGCTTCTTTGATCGTCGCCTTCATCCATTGATAAACGAGGCGCCCAGCACTTTCTGAAGTTGCTTAAGCTTACATTCCATCATATTATCATTCAATTACCTTCGATCCAGCACATCGACATGGAGACTATAAACCGAACTTTTAACAACGCCTCAAATGCTCTTTGGAGCGAGATCCATCCCAATCAAACCCCAGATGACCAATTTGCCAGCCAGCAGCATGGCGACGAGCCTCTCTCTGGAATCCAAGGCAGAGGAACTGCGACGGACCCTTATGACGCCGGAAACCGTGAAGGTAAGAGCCTCATCAACCGCCCATACATCACCCGAAAAATCACAAATTA